GATAAGCCCCTTCCCAGCCCCGCCCCATGCATGACCCCTGTTCTCCACCTACTGGGATCGAAACCGACGTTGCACCTCTCTCTCCTTCTCCCCATTGTCCTTCAACTGCGCCGCCCTGTATGCACCCCCGCCCCCTGGCCCAGCAACGCCCCCCCCTGTGCCGCGCGCCACCCCCCGCCTCCCGCCCCCAGAGTTCGGCCCCACTGGATGTTCTTAGTCGAAGCAGTTGAAGCCCCACCTCGGGGCCATTCGAGCGCTCGAGTGTCGCAGCTCACCCCCTGCAGGTCCCAAAGCAGTTAAAGGCCGTTCGTCAGCTTTTTGACCCTGCCGCACGCGCTCGCGGCAGCTATGCGCAAGGTGGGAGAGGGCAGTGCTCCTCCCTCAGCAATCCTCTCTGCCGCGGGTGTTGTTGACGTCGCTCAGTTCATCGTGGTTCGTCGGCCGATTGCTAGATTTGTTGCAACGCGCGCTCGGGTGCGCATTGACTCGTTGGGTGCTCTCATTCTTGTCCGCGGCCAGGGCAGCGCGCGTAGTAAGGACAAACTACGTTTTCAAGGGTGCCCTTGGGTCCTTGCCTGCCTCAGCCTCTGCGGCCCGCCCTAGCAATTTTCGCAAGCCAGTTTCTCAGGTTCCCTGGGGGTGGCCGCCTGCCGCCCAGAATACTTCAACTTCTGCCTCCAAGGGTCTTGCGCCCTTACCACGCGTCCTTACTAGAAGTTTGCCGTGGCGGGCTTGTTTTCCACAGCCACCACCATGCATTGGACGGGTGAAGGAGGTGTAGGCTGAGGGGGAAGAGGAAGAGAGTGGCCCCATTCCCCCTCCTACTTATGGTGATGGCGGTGGAAACGAAGCTCACACATCCATCACCCCCCTCTCTGCAATCCTTGTGTCTTGCGGGACTGCGTTGATACCTGTGCGGTTCTGCTGGTTCAGAATGCTTTTTTTGCGGCAGTGGGGAGGTGGCAACCTCGGGGTCCCTGACGAGATCAAGGGCTATGCGGTTCTAATTAGAGAGTGCAGCGGGGGGGACATGACGCCGCTGCAGCAGCTGGAGGCGGTGACGGACTTCGTCAACAGCCACATGAATTCTGTATCTAGAGATTTGGACGCTTTTGAAGTGTTCTCCTAAGTGTGCCCGATCGCACAGCAAGGAAGTGGGGTGGATGATGGAGGAAACTGCAGGTAGAGTGGGATGACGTGGGCGGGTGGCGCCACATGGGGGGGGGAGCATTTCTTCGAGCATCGTTCTCCCAGCCGCCTGGCCTCACCTCTGTGCAAGCGGCAAAGTGGTCGCATCATTCTGAGTATGTTCTCACGTTGGTGGCTCGGCGTCGAACGCCCGCTGGCCGCCTTTGGCGAACGGTTGCATGTTTGGCAAGCACGTTTGTGATCGAGGAAGCATTGGTAGGAATGTGATCCGACGCGATCGATCCGACATGCGAGCTACGTGCCATCGAATTGATAAAAAAAAACGAACTCAAACTAAGGTTTGCTCAGGGTGTGGTCTGCAATCCAAAGTATTTCGGGAGGCAGGCGAGACCACCATGGAATTCGACAAGCATACCCGCCACATCGAGGAGGATCTTACCAGCCTCGAGGGCCAACTGCATGCTAGTTTCACAGTGCTGCGCCTGAAGGAAGGCGGTCTACTTACTATTGCGGTGGCCAGCCGCTGGGGGCGCAGTCGGGAGCGATTTGCCAGCGGGATATTGGAGTGGGCTGACGTTGTCCAAGCAAGCGGGGTGAGCAGAGAGGAGGAAGTTGTTTCTGTTGGTTGGTACGTCCTCCTTCTCCTCCCCTGCCCTGCCCTTCCTCACCCCCATCCTCCTCCTCCCCCTCCTCCTCCTCCTCCTCCTCCTCCTCCTCCCCCTCGTCCTCATCCCCCGCATCCTCCTCCAACACGCCCCTCCACATCGACCTTTTCCCCCTCCTCGCCGCGCAACTCTTCCGCGCCCATCTGGCATCCCAGTCGCCCCGCCGACCCCCCGCAGTTGGAGTGCCGCAGCTGGCTTCGCTTCATCAACGCCACGGGGCACAAGCGGGACGTGCGCAATATTTTCGGCGATGAGGAGCGATGGGGCAGAGCATGCGAGCAACGCAGCAGAGGGTGCGCCCAGACGACGGCGCGCGCCAAGTAGGATGAGGGGAAGGAGGCGGGACGGAATCATGGCAGGGGTGGAAGATAAAATGATAACCGTTGAACAAACATCAGAGAAGGAGCAGGGGTGGAAAAGGACAGGGAGGATGATGGGCACAACGCACAGGGAACCATGGACGGCGCGCAGCACTGATGATTGCAAGCCGCTGCGTAGCAATTGGGGGGTGCGTTCGATTCGGGGCCCGATGAAGGGATGACTAGCAAGGCAGACATGATAAACGGGACGGGCGCGCCATCGGCGAGCAAGGGATGGATGATGGCGGTGCTGGTGAAGGTGGTGGTGATGGTGGTGGTGGTGGAGATGATGATGGTGATGACGATGTCAACGATGATGGCGGCCATGATGATGCTGCTGCTGGTGATGGTGGTGATGAATATGATGATGATAGTGATGGTGATGATGATGATGCCGATACCGATGGTGATGCCACTGGTGATGATTGTCATGGCGGAGGTGTTGGTGGTGATGATGATGCTGAGGATGATGAAGGTGGTGATGGTGGTGGTGGTGGTGGTGCTGATGATGGTGTTGAAGACGTTGGTGTTGCTACTGATGATGCTAGTGGCATTCGTGGCCATGGTGGTGATGGTGATGCTGCGCATGCTGGTCATGATGATGGCGATGCGGAGGGCGACGGGCTAACGCATGGCACATGTCATTAACTGTAAAAGTGGGCGGCTGAGGATTGCCCGAAGGTCGCGTCCGCGAACGTCCAGCTCCAGTTTGCTGCTTATCTTGCGACTCTGGCGCACGTGAGGCGCGCATGGATATTGATGGAGAAACCGCTTCAGAGCAGGATGGACGAACACCCGACCATGCAGACTGTGATGGCGCTGCTGGGTGCGTCTACGATTCTCACATACATGGGCGCGTTCCAGCCCAGGCCGCTCATCCCGAAAGCGTGCAACCTCATCACTACTTTACCTTCCACTGTTCACAACATGCTGGCGAAGAAACGCCCGATATGCAGCTCCAAGAAGTCGGACAGGGATCGGTTCCACACGGAGATTCGAGGGTGGGTCGTCGGCGGCAAGGGCAGGCGTCGTTTCTCTTGCGGGGCAGGGATGAATAGAGAGGAACGGGGGGGCAGAGGGGTGCCCACCCGCACCCCCGACCTACCTCCGCCATCGTTCCCATTCCCACCTTGGAACCATTCCTGGGAGACAGAGAGAGGGGGGAGCAGAGGGCGCGGAGAAACGATGCCGAAGAGAGCGGGACGGAGGAAGGGGGAGACGAGGAGAACGAGACGGAGGAGCCATGAGAAATTGCAGTGGGGCGTTCAAGGGCAGTGCGGCAAGCACAACATAGGGGAAGCGTCGGGTCTGGTGACGACACCATGGGGAGGAGGGGGTCACTCTGACCCCCTAGCATCGCGAGGCGATGATGTAGGCAGCACTCGGATCCAGCACGTGCGCGCCAGTATCTGCGCGCGTGCGCGCGCAGAACGCACATTGCGATTTGTTTTGCGATCCTCGGGGTTCTGGTCACACTACTGCTCGGCCCCCTACCACATTGTGCAAGAGCCCATCATCTCCCCCCCCCCCCCCCGCCTCTCTTCGTGGAGGAGCTGAGTTCCACAGAGCATTATCCGAGGGGGTACTGCGAGACCCTGTGGAACGCGTGGAAGACCGCGCAGCAGAAGGCTATATTCATGGACAGAATTAACTTTTTGATGAGCGATGGCCAGATCATGAGGAAGAGGTCGAGGATGGCAGCACTCTTGGAGAAGGACGCAGCTGCCGAGAAGCTTGCGCCAAGAAAAGGGCATCGATCGTCATCCAACAACCGCACGCTCCACGAATACGGCAAGGCAGTTCTCCGCTCCATTTGGAAGCCTCCTAGATGGAGTCCGATCGAATAGATGGAGTCGAAGGACAGCGCCGCGTCGCCAATATGCATTGCATATGCATCGGCGATGCGTAGGCGACGTCGGCGATGCATCGGCGGCGCTGGCGCGGGGAATCACTCAACGACGGCCTCTGCTTGACACTTCCTCACACATTGTCCCCCCCCCCCGCTCCCCAGAACTTGGAGTTGATAAATGATGGGTCGACCATGCCAAGTCAAGTGTGCCGTTGTCGTATGTTTAATGTAATCGGAGTCTCCTTCTCGGCATACCCTCTGGCATGGTCACAGTATGGTCTTGAGTCCTCTCGGGTGTCTTGTCGCATCACTCCGTCTGGCCCTTTCGCAGATTCCAGCACCTCCGCAGCCATTTGGGCTTAGGTGCTGCCAGGCACTACCTGGCCAGATAGTCACACAAAGTCTACGGTGTGTTTTCTTTGCCCCAGCTGACGGGGCCAGTGATCCACATGGACATGGGCATGGCGTCAAGCAGCGCTAGCCCAGCGAGCGGCGCGCAGCCAGCTATGGCACAACCTGTTGGTGCTACTTGCCATTTGCATGGGTGGGTGGCGTCAGACATTGACACGGGCGTGCTCGAGGTGCACGGGGCAGCTCGCTTGCGATCGATGGGCGTGGAAATCAAGAAGCTCGACATCTTCGAATTACATCGGGAGGACTGGCTCACCCAGGTGCCGAGCCTCATCTTCATGTCCAACCTATGCCCTCCGACGGGCCATAGGGACTACTTGCAGTGGCTTTTGAAGAAGTACTTGCAGTGGAACCCGAACGCATCAGAGCGCAGGACGCACTACGAGGTCATGTGCTTCGAGGCGGTCATCGCACAATGTCCATCTGCGTCTGTTGTGACCATCATGCGGTCGAACGAAGCTCGTCGTGGCGGGGGCGCTCCCGTCGTCGAGGCCCAGATGGGGCACGTGCCTGGCTACGTTCCCAAGGGGTGCAACCATGATGCGGGAGACGACCTGAGGCCTCTGGGCGGCGGCGGGACCAACAGAGTGCGCATGAAGCTCCACGGCCCCCTCAGGCCGAACGATTTCATCTCGCCAAACGGTGACGGCAGCATCAACGTAGTTGCGCTGTGTGCTGCAGCCACGGCGAATCGGATGAAGGTGCTGTTCCTTGGCGAGTGGGACGGGTCATTGTCCCTCGGGTGCGCGGTTGGATGCATGTACCACCAGACGCTCGATCGGGAACTGGGTATCGGAATGGTCTTTGATCGGGGCATCGTGCCAAGGCGTTCGTTGAACAACCAGCGCCCATCCACATACAAGGAGTTCTACGAGTACGCGATGCAGTACCGCGCGGTGCAGATCGTCGATGAAGCGGCGCGCATGAATGCTCCTTGGCCTGAGGACTGGGAGGACAGACTCAATCCATACGTCGGCCTCAATACGGCGTGCATGTGGCATTTTGCGCAGGTCTGCACCGACGCTAATGGCCTGTCCTTGGTTTTCAGTGCAGCTCAGAGTTCCATGGGGGCAGGTCCGATCAATCCTTGAGCGCTTTGGGTGGCAACTCAGAATCGACACGTTCTTCATCGGCTGATGTTCTTAGCATTTTGTATGTTCATTGGCAGCGCTCAGTGCATGATGATGCTCGTGCATGTGCTTTGTTCAGTGGCGGTGTCAGGAATATGGCGGCTCGCTCTGGGATTGCCCCAGTGTACATCGCCACAGTTGTAGGTGCACAACGTTTTGTATATTGCAAATAATGAAAAGGTACTTGTCATGCGTGATCAGAGAGCCTAGTACAGTTTCTGGCTTCTCAGCGTGGTTTCGCAGTGCTTGCCGTGTTTGGAGTGGGTTTCCTTGAGACTTGTGTAAGTGAAGCTCAGTGAAAAGGGCATCGTGATCAACAGTTGTGGTTTGTCGTGCGACGCTGACCAATGCTAACAGCTGTGGTATGCCAGTGCCGTCCTATGTTATGCAATGCTCTGGTGCCGATGCTGGTGCTGATGGGGCGCCCCAGCATCAGCACCAGCATCGGCACCAGCGCCAGCATCAGCTTCATCACGATGATGATGGTAATCAACATCATCATCAGCATCAGCATCATCAGCATCATCATCACCATCGTCATCATCAGCAGCATCACCATCATCATCAGCAGCACCACCATCATCGTCGTCATCAGCATCTTCATCATAATCTTCATCATCATCATCATCATCATCATCATCATCATCATCATCGTCACCCTCCTCCTCCTCCTCTTCCTCCTCCTCTTTCTCCTCCTCATCCTCCTCCTCCTCCGTCTCCTCCTCCTCCTCCTCCTCCTCCTCCTCCTCCTCACCCCCCTCCTCCCATGCCTCCTCCTCCCCCCGTTCCTCCTCCTCCTCCTTCCCCTCCTCCTCCTGTTACTCTTCCTTTTACTCCTCCTTTTACTCCTCGTCCTCCTCCTCGTCCTCCTCCTCTGGGAGAGAGCCTCGAGCACCCCAGGCTGCGTGGGATTGAGGGGGCAGCCCGTATGCAACCAGCCCGCCTGCTGCTTTTCCTCCTCCTCCGCCCCCCCCCCCCCTCCCCATCCCTGTCCCCGTCATCGCCCTCCTCCCCCCCATGTTTTGTCACGGCCAGCGTGGCCGCGTGGCCTGGGCATGGGCGCTCGAGCCCAGCATTTGCATGCAGGCGGATTCGGTATCCGACCAGCCATAACTGGGGGAGCTGTGGTCCTTATATGCCCCGTGGACGAACCCATCGCATCGACGATCTCTCGAGAGGGGTGTCGAAATCGATGGCTCCCCCCAGGGCGTAAACACCGCAGCACTCCCAGTTGTGGCTGGCCTGGGTATGGTGCTCTGATATACATGTATATATACACATGCGTGTGTATATATATATATATATACAACTAACTATTACACATTACTGTCGCCGTTTGTCTATGCAAACATATATATACACAATATATACGTGTTGAACTATGAGTCTACATATGTGCATATGTATATGCGTATGTATATAATACATAACGCATCTATATCTAAATACATGTATGTATATATATATATACATACATATTTGTGTTATATTTTTATATATATATTCTCAAGTAAGATGGTTCCGGGATGCGATGATGGTTCCGGAGCTTTCGCTGCTGCCCAAAATGTTCCGGTTCGGAAGTTTGCTCGGGAACCAATCTCCGGTTCCGGAGGACCTCTGGGAACCGCTCAGGACTGGGCGCAGGAGCTGTGCACCCATTGTGCGGACAACCCCAAGTACTCCCCCGAAGTTGTGAAGGAGGGGGCCCGACTCGGTGATGGCCTAGTCCAGGCGGCGGGAGGCTGGAAGGAAGCAGTCAACTGCCACCGAGAGGCCTGGACGAGCCGGTGGGGGAACAACCTGGACGGGGTCTTCAAGGAGGAGCTATGCGAGCTGCTCGACCCCGACCTCAGGGATTACCTCCACCAGATGGTGAAGGGCGGGGTTCCCGCCCGCCAACCGCTGGCCCAGGTTCGGGCCCCCTCCAAACCGCACATGAGCGTGCAGGGGCACATGGAGGAGGCGATGGAGAAGTTGTGGGAGGACGCCAAGAGGGGGAGGGTCCTCCTCTGCGGAAAGGACTCGGAACCTTACCTAAGCGGGGTCCTCTCCTCCCCCTGGGGAAGGGTGCCGAAGATGAACCCCGACCGCGCGATCTCGGAGGAAGGAAGGTTCATCCGCGACCAGAGGGCGATGAACGAGACGGGGCACAAGCACCTCCACCCCCCAGCCTTGCAGCCCCGCCATCGGGGACTGGCGAGAGAGATCACCTGGTGGAAGGAGCGGCAGCCCGGGGGTAAAAATCCTGATCGCCAAGCGGGACATAGCGGAGGCCTTCCGCTGGATCTGGTTACGGGCGGAGGATGCCGGCGTGTTCGCCACGGAGCTCCCTGGCAAGGTGGTCGGGATGGAGGGCAACCTGGTGGCCATCTACCTCGCCCTCACCTTCGGGTGGATCGGGGGCCCGGGGGAGTACATGGCCTTCGGGACGGCCCTGAAGCAGTACCATGACCGCCACCGGCCGGCCGACCCAGGATGGCACGACGACGTGCCCCACCACTCGCACCTCCTCATGGACGACGACGTCCTCATCGAGCCCCTCCTGGGACGGCGCCCCTGGATGGCCGCTAGGCTGGCCGAGGAGGGGGCCCGTAGAGTATTCGGGCCTCTTGCGATCAACGCGGAGAAGAAGGACGAGGAGGGGGAGTTCCGCGTGGACCAGATCTGCTGGGGGGCCCACGTGAACACGGAGGAGGAGACCCTGCGGCTCCCCGAGGAGAAGGTCAACAAGATCCGGATCCTGCTGAGTGACCCGGCCTACGACACGGGGAACACCCAGGTAGCCCTGAAGGATGTCCAGGTCCTCCGCGGCACCCTCAACTTCGCGGCCATCACCTGCCCCCCCCTCCGCCCCGAGTTGGGGGCGGTAGACCGGCTCCTCCGCACTGCGGACCCGGCTGGGGTTTGGGTCAAGATCAAGGAGAGCAGCGAGGGGAGGGAGAAGGACGCGCGGGACGAGTGGCGGGAGGCGCTGGAAGTTTTCCGCCTCTACGCGGGAGCGCCCCAGGCCTGGACCACCCACTTTAACACAGGCTTGAAGGGGGTCCTCCAACCCCAGGAGCGGCTCGCCCTCCCCGGCGGAATGGAGGAGCTGGTCTGGACCGGAGGGGACGCCACCGAGACCCGGGTGGGGGCCGCCGACTGGTCAAACGGGGTGTACGGGGTCATGGATGTCAAGGAGGTCACGGAGCCGTTCCACGCGGTTTTTGGGGGGGGAGCTGAGCCGACATCATCGCCATCTGCGAGCTGTTTACCTTCCTGGTGCTCGCGGTGGCCCAGGCCCCGAGATGGGAGGGGCGCCTGGTCCTCTACGTCACGGACAACACCAACACGGAGATCTGGCTCAACAAGCGGACGGCGAAGAACCGCCTCGCCCGCTACGGACTGCGCCTCCTCCAGCTCCTGGAGACCCGCTACGGGTTCCACACGGTTACGGCGGGAATTTGGACCAAGCACAACAGCAGCATGGACCTCATCTCCCGGGAGACGAAGAGCGTAGTCCAGGAGGAGATGAACCGCCTCGGCTTGGAAGAGATCGACCTCAAGGGACCCTGGAGGGAAGTGCTCGCGGGGGCGGAGAAAGGCCGCCCTTTGGTCCTCCCTGGAGACTCGGAGGAGGGACGCCGGCTGGCTTACCAGCTGGTGGAGCGCCGCCGGGCGCGGGGACCGCCCGCCGGACCCTTGGCCGGGGTGCAGGTCTTCGAGTGGCGTGCGACCCTCTCCCCCTACTGCCGGGTGGCCGGAGAGATGGGGGCACGGATCGGAGCCACCACCCCCAATCCCGGTTCAGCCGTGAGCCACCCCTGGTGGGAGGTCCACCAGAATCGACTCGTGGCCGACCGGGCCGGGCGGGCCAGGACCGCGGCGAAGGAGACTTGGGTCACCTGCTCCAGTGGCAGCGACCCCGCCGGCCGAGAGGCCCTCTACTTCGTGCGGCACGCGCTCTCCCACGCCGCCACCTTCGTCGTGCTGGACGGACCCCTGGACCAGGACCTGGGGGGGGCCCGCGAGGTCTTGCAGGAGGGTGGGTACGACACTGCGGAGAGCGTGGTGCACACCCACCTCCTTGGGGACCGGTGCGCCAGGTCGCGCCGCCTCCTCCTTGCCTGGAGAGACGGGGGGAACTGGGGGAGCGCCGCGCTCGCATTCCTGCGGCGGGGCGAGCGATTGGTCCCACTGAACCTCAGCAGCGCCCTGTTGACGCCCGAGGCGGTCCCTCCGGAGCTCTACATGCAGGAGGAGGAGGGGGGGGCCCACTGGCGCCACTTCAAGGTCCCGGAGAGGGCCGACCGCGGGGAGGGAGGGCGCCCCACCGCCCTCCAGGCGGCCGGGACCTGGAAGAGCACCCGGGAGTCGGAGGGGGACGCCCGGGTCATCCTTAGCCCGATGAGCAGCGGGCCCGACTACTTTAAACGGAGAAGGTTAAAGGCGAGGTATAAATCGAGCATGTACCGCTGCCGTGCCTGGCTCAAGCCGGGCCCGGCCAAATATGTGATTGCGCCTCACCGAGGCGCACGATTCGTATCTGAGATCGGAAAATACCTTTTCCATTGACGATGCCCATCCTATCCTTTACTCCAGATCCCATGCTTCGTCTTGCTCTCTTGCTCATGCGATATGAGCCAAAGCCTGGGATATGGGAACGCCTAAGGCGTAATATATACCTAAGCTTACCAGTGCGTTTTCGACTTGGTAGCGGAGCTGGCTACACTCTCGTGTGGCTGGCTCTCGCTCTGATTCCTGTAATCCACGGCACAACTTGGTGGACTACTACTACGGTGGAATACCATGTTGCGCCGGCTCTGCGAGGAGCGGAGCCAG